CCCCGCCATCCCTCCACAGCCTCCACACCCAGCAGGGAAAACACCCCGAGAGTGGGGAGGGCAGGGGGACCCAGGGCTGCCGGCCGGCTGGCAGGTCAAAGGCAGGGACCATCCAGGGACGCATGCAGTGGACAGCAGGGGCAGAGGGTCCAGCCCCAGAGGGCAGAGCCAGGGCCGGGGCTCCATTCCGGCAGCCACACCGGGGGTGCCCTCCCCACCTGTATAGGGGTGAGCCAGGCAGGGCAGCCGGATTGGAGACTGCTCAGCTAAGCTGTCCCAACCGGGGCCTCAAACTCTGGGGGTCGTGCCATCCCTGTGGGGGGTGTAGCCACTGCTGGGAAGGGTTTCAGGGCCCATAGACTCGGGAACAAGCCGGGGGTGGGGGCAGCTTGGCCCACGCACGCACCAAGCCAGCAAGTTTCCAGGTCTGCCGTCCTCCCCACAGCAGAGAGGAAACTGTGGCCCAGGGCCAGGCGTCCGACCAGCCACCTCCAAACCAGCCCCACCCAAGAGGCCCAGAGCCCCCCGTTCACACGCATGCCTGCACCAGCTCCCGACCCTCCTGCTCCAGGTCCTTCAGAGAAGCCCAGACGCCCCCTTGGCCCCCTGGCCTTCACGCTGGAGCAGGCGAGGCCCACGGGGTCAGCCACCTGACCCAAGGGGGAACCCTGGGGAGCCCCATGCTTCGCACTCTGGGAGCTGAGACCCCAGGCCTGCCGGGTCAGCTCCAGGCTGTGCCAGCTTCCAGGGCCTGGCAGAGGGACAGCCACGCATGCCTGACCCTGGGGATCAGCAGATCTGGGGAGCAGGCCTCCCATGCTGCCCTGGCCACTGTCTCCTGGGCCTGGCGCACCCACACCCAATCGGAACCATTGGACCTGCTTTTCTGGGTGGGCCTGCCCTGGGCTCCTGGGGGCGGGGGAGAGAGAGGCCTCCAGAAGCTGCCTCAGGGTCTGGGCTCCCCGCACAAGACCCCAGCATGAGGCAGGCCCCAGAGCCAATTTCCTGGGTCGACACGGGGAGGCCCAGAACAGGCCCGTGAGCAGTGCACGCCGGCCCTCTGGAACCGCCATTGTCCACCGGCCCCTGGACCACCGGGCCTGGGGAGGGTGAGGCCTCCAACCGCGCGTGTGTCCACCCAGTCCTCCAGGATCGATGACCAGCGCTGCCCACCGCCCGACGTGCTGCCCCGGGGCCCCACCATGCCTGACGAGGACTTCTTCAGCCTCATCCAGAGGGTGCAGGCCAAGCGCATGGACGAGCAGCGGGTGGACCTCGCGGGGGGCCTGGAGCAGGGGGCAGGTGACCTGCCCGAGCCCCAGCAGCAGTGCCAGCCCGGTACCAGCTAAGGCCCTGCGCCCACCGCCAGGCCCACCCTGCCCCCACCTCCAGATGCTGGGCTCACAGTCACAGCCACGATCTCCCGAGGCCATCGCCGAGGACAGGCACTGGGCATGCAGCCCCATGGCCTCCCTGACCCAGGGTGGCAGGCTCAGGCCAAGCTGCCCATGGGGGGAGGGCGTGCTTCCATCTTGGGCTGGGCCCCCATGGCTCTCGGCTTCCTCCCCTGCCCCCGCCACACGCCAGACAGGGCCTTCAGCATATCGGCCCCAACCCGGTGCTGTGCAGACTCCCCTGCCCTCTCCTCCAAGCCCTTCCCACTCTGCCCTGCCCTGCCAAATGTGAAACCCTGGTGTCTCCCCCACCCTCCCGAAAGGTGTCTCTGAGCCTCTTCTTAGGGCTACCGTGTTCTGTCCCCCCAGAGCTGGTCCTTGGACAGCCCTGCGACAGGCATGCTCCTCCCTCCAGCTTCATCCCCAGGCAGGGCTCCCTCCAAGCCTGTCTCCCCACTCCTGCCCCAGCTGGGGGAGGAAGAGGTCAGAGACTACAGAAGGCCCTCCCAGACCAGTCATGGCAGACCAGGCTGCAGCGGCAGCCCTCAGGGTCCCCCCACCCGAGTCCCAGGGCCCTGCCAGGGCCTCGATGGGGGTTGGGCCTGTCTCTAGAGCAGAGGGAACGGCCGGCCATGAACATTGACCTTCAAAAACCCCAAGCTAGGAAGAAGGGCAGGGCCTGGCCCTAAGGATGCTAGCTGGCAGCGGGAACAGTGCCCAGTCGGTGGGAGGCAGCACCAGGCTCTGTGACCCTCACGTGAGTGGAGGGTCAGTGGAAGCTGGGGAGGCTTCGCTCAGCTCAACCCTGCAGTCCCCCAGATGAGAACCCCCTCCTCCCACCAGCTAGGGGAGATGACATCACCACTGTCTCCCCACGGGGAGGGGCCCACAGGTCACGGAGCTCAAGACCCTGCGCCCCACAGGAACTGCCAGAGCCTGAGATGGGCCTGAGGTGGCCTGCTCCTGTCCATACCCAGCCTTGGCACCTCCCGAGTGCCGCGGGCCCTGCCATGGCCTCACACCCCCTGGGGCTGGCAGTTCCATCCAGGAGGGTGCCTCCAGGCCCCGCTCTGAGGCCGGGGTGGACAGGAGTCCTGGGCCCGACGAGGTGACCCGCTTCTAGAGGGGCAGGACCACACCCAAGGGCAGGGACAGATGCCCAAACACAGGGCCTCCAGGACCCAGCACCACCCTGCATACTTGAATGTACATGCATATTTATTGCTCACATGTCTGTGCCACGTTGTCAATGGGTCCTTTCCAACCCAAAAGGTACATTTGTTTTTCTGTTTTTTCCTGAAAAATAAAGTCGCCAAGTGAGTGTGGCCCATGTGGGCTTAGTGCCAGGGGTGGCCTGGCCCGGGTAAGAGGCTGCACTGGGCACAGTGTCCACAGACACCACTCTCTGGGCCCCGGAGACCTCAGAGAGATGGAGTTCCCAAATTAGCCAGTCATGGTGGTGGGCACCTGTAGTCCCAGCTACTCGGGAGGCTGGGGCAGAACTGCTTGAACCCGGGAGGTGGAGGTTGTCATGAGCCGAGATCACACAACTGCACTCTGGCCTGGTGACAGAGACACCATCTCAAAAAAAAAAAAAATGGAGTTCCCACTGCATTTAACCACGGGGCGGCTGGGGCGCAGAGGGGTGAAGTGGCTGTCAGCTGTCACCACTGATCCCTGCATCTGCCTTCTCACGTGCCCGGCCCCTAGGGTGACAGAGTATGCTCTGAGCTGCGGGGGGTGGCCCTCCAACAGCCCTCCCCCCTCCCCCACCCCCATCAGCCCCACTGCTGCCACCCACCCTGCAATTAGGAGGGAGGTCCTTCCCTGGAGTCTGACCTGACCCAGTTGGGCTCAGGGTCTGGGCTCTGAGGTGCAATGGAGGAGCTGGAGGCAGATGGGCAGTCTTGGGGCTTGTCTGGGCAATGCCTGTGGCAGGCAGCACCCCCACGGGGCCCCATCAGAGGACACACAGCCGAGCTGAGCAGTCGCGCTCCCCCTCGACTCGGCCCATCTGGCCATGTTGGCAGCCACAGCCCCAATGTGCTGGCTGGCTCCGTTGCCACCTCCACCCCTGAAGGGGCCTTGGGAACCAGAATGGACAAGTACTCCAGGTCTGGGGTCCCAGCCAGCTTGTGGGCAGTGGCCCAGGCACACAGGGTCCTGGTAACCTCGCAGGGCCTGGGACCACTCACAGCCAGGGAGGCACAGCCTCTGAAGGTGCGGCTGGGAGCTTCTTGGAGAGGCATGCTATACAGATGTCCAGGCCAGCAGCTGTCCCTGGGAGGCAGGGATGTCCCAGAGGGGTGGCGAGTGCAGAGTAGGGGAGAGTCGGATGGCAAAGCCCCTGGCAGAAACCTGGCTGTGGGAGTGGGCTGGGGGGAGGGAAGGGCAGAGGGAGACGGGCTCCAGGGTACCTCAGGCAGGAGCTGGTGGGACGCATCTGGCTCGGGGGTGGAATAGAACTTTACTCCCTAGGAGCATGCCAGCCTTGGGAGGGGTGTCCTTCCAGGGCCAGCCTGGGCCCAGAGGTGCTGGCAGCAGACACAGGAAGACATGGTAGTCTACCTACCAACTCCTGGCCTCCATCTCCCATCTGTAAGAGGAGGGTTGGCCTGAGTAGCTCTCCATCCGGTTCTGCACTTCCAGGTCTGAACACCTCCCTGGACCTCCCAACATGCTGGTCCAGGCCCTCTGGAGGCAGTGAGGCAGCCAGGCCAAGCCCAGCCCCACTGGCCCCTGCACTTCCAGGCCCCCAGGAGACCCGCAGCCAGTGCCTCTATGGAGGAGCAGGCCGGGGAGCGGGGGCTCGGTCCGGAGGAGAGTTTCCACACGTGGCACAGAGGCTCCGGGTGGGAGTAATAGAGGGCTGTTGGTAATCGAGGCAAAGCCCATGACAGGAGCGCACTGGGAACAACGCAGCCACGCCCTGGCCTCCCACGGGCTGGCTGTGAGCTGGCAGTCCCAGCCAGGTCCCACTGGGAGGGGCCGCACTGGGTCCCTGTCTCGCTGTCCTCCTCCACCTCCCACCGCGCCCCATCCCGTCTTCGCTGTCAGAGTGTGGCGGGTGATTAATGCTGAAGGTCACAAAGCACAGAACATTTCTGCAAATAAACAGGCCCCTGCGTTTGCTCAATTTCATAAACACAGGGACATCTGTGGGCAGTCAAACAAGGCTGGAGATGAACCCCACACGCCTCAGAGGCCCCGGGGGCACGCACTGCCCACTGAGGGAGGGAGGCCCAGCTGGCTCCCCGGAGGGGCCTGGAGCTCCTGACCCTCGGCCATCAGAGCTGCTGGTCCTGCGTGGGCCAGGTCTCAGGTCTGCACTGACTCATGAAGTGTGGATCAGCAGAGCTGTCCAGGGGAACAGCAAGGAGCTTGCAGGGGAAGGCTGAGGCTCACAGGAGTGGTGACCTGCTCAAAGCCATGCAGCGACAGCCAGGAGGGGGTCTGACTGTGCATCCAGCCTCCTCTCACGAGCCCGTGGCCCTTGTCGGCCCATGCAAGGTGACTCTGCATAGAAGGAACCATGGTGAGGCCCAGGGTCCTGCGGCTCCAACGTCCCACCCAGCATTACCAAGGATTCAGAGCAGTCCTTCTAACTCCAGAAAAAGAAATGCCACCAGGGCCACAGGCCCCGGCACCCGGAAGGGATGTTTGTTTATTGATAGAAAACAGGCCAAGTCCGGAGAGGCCCAGGACCAAAATATCCTTCTGGAAGGCAGAAGTCCCACAGTGCCGGGGAGCGCAGGGGTCAGCTCGGCTCCATCTTGCCAGGGCAGGTGGGATCCTCATCCTCACCCACTTCCGGAGCAGCAGTGGATGTGGGGGCCCCTGCAGCCTCCAGAACCAGTTCCAGGGCCCCCTCGCCAGCCACACGGTGCACCTGCTCGCCTCTGGCCGCCAGGATCTCTTCAATATTTCTGAGAGGCAGGGAGGCAACGTGGTTCTTCAGGTCCCCCTACCCCCACCCTGCACTTCAGTCCCCTCAGGGCACCCCATGCCCAGCACTCCTGTGGCAGCAGGCCACAGGGGCACCTCAGACGCTGGCCCGTGCACCCCCACCAGCCCTGTGTCTCGGCTGGTAAGCGCCACCTCAGGAAACCAGTCCCACCCTCTACGCGCCAGAGGGAAGTCTACACAGCCCTGGGTCTGATGGGAGGACAGCCCCAGCCCCAAGGGCCAGGCACCACCAAGCACCTGGCACGCTGGTCTCAGACCTGCTGCTGCGGTTACTGTCCTGTCCTCAGATGAGAACACAGAGCTCAGAGGGCAAAGGGCACTGCCCAGGACCTCCCAGCCAGGTGGTGGCCAGGCAAGGCCCGGACCAGGCTCCCCACACCACCTCCACTGCTCTCCCGGCAGCCAGGGCCCACGCCCCAAGCCTTGCTATTATGGGCCAGCCACCCCGCGATGGCAGAGGGCAAGAAAGTACCACACCAGAGAGGGACAAGGCTGGCAGTGAGGGCAGAGGGCAGGCAAAGAGGCAGGGCCACGGGGCAAGATTTAGCATCTAAAATGTACCCCCTACATGGGGCAGACTTACACCAAAAACCCGTCTGGGGTTTCTTGGAAATTCTCATTTAACTGTGTGTCTTGTATTGACAAGGTGGCTGGATTGCCAAGGTGGAATCTATAAACCTCCACACTGGGGGAACGTTCGCCCCAGGGAGGCCAGGGTCCTTCTGGGTGGGCTCCTGGCCCAGCCCTGGGGTAGAGGCCTCACCTTTTTCCATTCAGGTCCGAGAACCAGCCCAGGTTGTCTGCGATTATGTGGTGGTTCTGGCAGCCCGGACAGGTCACAATGACCACACCTTGGTGATAGGCCAGCTTGGAGATGCGCTTGGAGGACCTAGTCCCACAGACCTGGCTGGGACGGCACAGCTGGTGAGGCTTTGAGCGCCGCCACGCCCCTCCCGGGAAGACCCACCCCTCGAGGGGTAACTCCACCCACCTCGCCGTCTCCGGGGGAGGCCCCGCCCCTGAGATAGCTCCACCCACCGCACACTCTCTCTTGGGAAGACCCGCCCATGGAGGGATAGCTCCACCCACCTCGCCCGCTCTGAGGAAGGCCCCGCCTCCGAGGGAATAGCTCCACCCACCCCACGCGCTCTCTCGGGAAGACCTGCCCTCGAGGGGTAGCTCCACCCACCCCACCCACTCTGGGGAAGGCCCCGCCCCCTAGTGATAGCTCCACCCACCGCAGCCTCGGAAGGCCCCGCCCCAGGGACAGCTTCGCGCCTTCTCAGGGTCCGACTCCGCCCCCTCCCAGAAGGCCTCACACCCACCTCGCCCCACGGGATGGCTCCACCCCTTCCTGACTTGACCCCGCCCCCCCCGGAAGCCACCCCCCCCCCCGCCCCCCCCCCCCCCCCCCCCGCCCCGGGCTGCCTCTCCCCGCAGGCCGTCTGGCGCCAGGTGTGGGTGTGGCCCCGGCTCCGTCCCGCCGCGCGCCCACCTTGCAGGTGTAGACGAGCTGGTAGTGCGCCACCTCCACGCGTCCCAGCGCCGCCTCCGGCCCCGGCCCCGGCTCGGAGCTTGAGCGCCGCCATCCCCAGGCCAAGGCCCGCCGCCTCCCTGCGACCTCCGTGCGGGCCCTGCGGCCCCACAGCCGCCTCAGACCGGACTCCCGGGGCTGCACGCGGCACAGCAGCCTCGGCGCACCGCGCAGCGCCGCCCGCAGCATCCCGCCCGCAGCATCCCGCCCTCCGACTCGGGCCGCCCGGCGCGGGCCCCGCCCCCCCGCCATCTTGGAAGCGGGCACCGGGCGGAAGCGGCCTGTCTGGGCCTCCGGGCCGGGGCGCGCTGCGCTCTGCCGCCCCCTGGCAGCTTGGTGGGGGCCCTGCGCCCACGTGCTGCCCGCACCCCGAGGACATGGCGGGTCCGTAGCGAGGAGGGACGGTCCCAGGGCTGCTCGCGAGTTAGGAGCGGGAATTCGGGTCACCCGTGCTATTTATTTACGTAGGCGCGTTTTCTAACACAATGCATGCATGTATCGTGTGTTACACGGTGAAATACGGCAGACCCTCAAGTTACACAAATGCGTGTGCACGGGTGGCGAGCACCCGCGTGGGCTCCGCAAGCTGAAGGCCGCTTAACAGAACACCCCAACGCTCGGCGGCCCGGCTGGGGCTTTCAGGGCACCAGACTCCCGGTTCCAAGCCCAGGGCGTCAGCACCCCTGGGTGGCAGGGCCGGTGGGCGTGCCCTGGGCCAGGCCCGCGCTGCTGCGGCTAGGAGCCCTCGGTGTCGGTGTTGTCGCTGCCCGTGGTGTTCTCCCGGTCCGCCTCCCCCTGCCGCCAGCCGTTCTGCATCTTCCTGAGGGCACGCTTCCTGCGAAGACACACGGGTCTCAGGCGCAGACCCGGCTGCCCCTCCCCAGTCCGCTTTGGAGGAGGCTGGGGGCCACCTGCCTACCTGCGGTAGTTCTCAAAACTCTCCTTGAGGCGCCGCCGCTCCTTCTCTGGGGGCTCGCCGCTGCTCAGGCCTGCGTCCTGGAGAAGGGGGAAGGCTCAGGCTCTGGCTGGCACCCCGAGGGACCCCCTCCCTTCTCACACACCCCCCACTGGCCCCTGCAACGATAGACTGGTGGGGAGGCAGGGAGCCCAGACAGCCTCAGCCCAGCTCAGGTCCAAGCTCCCCCTGGGGGGGCCTGCCTGTACCCCAGGAGGGGAGCCGGAGTGGGCCTCCTGCATTTCAGATGCCAGGACACACCCAGGAGGCCAAGCCTCGGCTCCAGCCTGGGCCCCAGGTCTTTGTCTCTACAACAAAGCCCAAGGCAGCCTTTGCTGTCAGGGCTCCTGTCCAGCCTACTCGGGGCGGATGCTGCATCTGCTGTAAAGGCCCCTGAGAAACCAGGACCTGGCACATCCACCTCCAAGCCCCGCTGCTGCAGTGCTCCAGAAGGGAGGGTGGCCCCTTCACATCCCAGACACTGCACCCCAAGCACTGAGGACAGAGACCTCGTGGTCACCCCTCAGCCATGAGGACCACTCGTGCAGTGGGACCACTGCAGGGGGTGCCCAGGGTGAGGAGCCACCCTCCCTGTGATCAGTCACCCTGAGGCCCACAGCTGGGGGAGCCCATCCCGGGACAGCCTTACATGGGGGGTCAGTGAAAGCTGCTCCTGGTGCAGAGCTGCAAAGGGCTGCTCCTGGCTCCCACCACCGGCCAGGCCACCTGGAAAGGAGAGTCATTCCTGCCCACCTGCAGGGCCACGCACAGCTGGGCTGCCACACCCCTCCTCGGCATTGCTGACACCCTGTGGGGCTGTCTTCCAAGGCCTGGTGGGACCCCCACGTGGGTCCAGTGTAGACTGCATTCTGTAGGTGACACTGGGACCTGTGGCCTTGCGTGCCTATTTATTGCCCCAGGAGGGGCAATGGACAGCAACCCAGGCCCAGCAGGCCCAGCACTCCCACCAGTGACTGCCTCTCCCTCCCCACCCCAGGGGACACGTCCTGCCAACTGGGGCCCCAGGTTCCAACTGGGCTCTGTGGTCTGTTCTCTGGGTGACCTTGGCCATTTTACGTATCCCCCAGCCCAAGCTTCCCCGTCTGCGGAGGGCGGGTGCTGGAAGCAGAGACAAGCTCGTGTCACGCACGGCTGCCTGCGCTGAAGGTGGGCCTCACTTGGGGCAGCCGGGAGGCCTCCGGGTGCACAGCCATCACCTCCTCACCTTTGTCTGAGAGCTGGGTGTCCTCCTCCAGGTCCTGGGGGAGCGAGAGCTTCGGAAGAGAGGTGAGATGTCCCATTAGGCCCCTCTGCCAGGGACTGGACCCAGCCACACTGCCCGCCCCAGCTCTTGGCCATCGCCATCACCCCCTGCACAGAGCTTCTCAGCGACTCAGGCGCCCAGCCAGGAAGGTCCTGCCATGAGGGTGCCAGGAGGTGGGCACTGTCCTTACCCTTTGAGCTGTCGGAGGGCTTAGTGTGCGGCTGCCTGCTCTTCCTCCACCCAGCCTAGCCACCAAGCAGGACCACGTGACCGGGAGTGTGGGATTGTGCCTGGTGGCAGCTCGGGTGAAGGCGGGGCAGTCCTGTGCCGGCTGGGGGCTCACTCACCTCCTGGGAGCTCCTGGGTGAGCCATCCTCCAGGTCGGAGCTCTGTGGTCATAGAAAATGGGGTGAGTGGGCTGTGGGGGCCTAGGGCTCAGCAGGCACGGGGCGGACAGGGCACAGAATGGGTTCCTCCGGGGGCCCTGGGCATGCCCTCAGCCACCACAGCCCCCTCCATGACCAGAACCACCTGCTAGGCTGCCTGATGGGCAGGCCCAGGCCACACCCTGGCCCTGCAGCCCCACTTCCTGTTGGGGCCCCAATCTGCCCCTGTGCCCTCACCCCCCTGCGAGGAGGGGCTCCGTTAGGTTGGGGCCCATCACAGAGGAGGGTTGGGTCGGGAAGCCCAAGGCCAGGGCCTCCTGAGGCTCCGTGCTCCCCGATCCCTGCGTCCCCCAAGCTCCCCTCCCTGCCCCATGCACCAGGCCCACCAGGACGAGCATCTCCAGCTGCTGCCGCCTGAGCCTGCCCTCCACGGCCAGGAGCTGTGCCTCACGCTGGAACAGCTGCAGCTGCAGCTCGTCAGCCTTCTCGCCCAGCTCCCGCACGTGCTTGCGCAGCGCGTCCTTCTCCTGCAGGCCCCGGGCGTGCAGGGTGTGCAGCTCCTCCCGTGTGGCGATGGCCTGACGGGACAGCGCAAGGCCAACCCTCATTGAGGCCCCCAAGCTCGCCCTGGGTCCTTAGCCTGACCACCCAACTCCCAGCAGAGGCCCCAAGGACATCAAGCTGCCGGCCACAGAGGCCAGCCTCAGTCCCTCCCTTTTTGTGCTGTGCGGACATGAAGCCAGATTTGAGGGATTGTAAAGGTGACAGCTAAGACAGTATAAGGAAGGCTCACACTCGGAATAGTCAGTCTCTGCAGCCCTCTGTCTCCTCCCACGCCTGCACCCCCAGTGGACACAGCGTGTGCTATGCACCCCACACGTGCACACGGGATGAATTTTGGATGCGGCTTGATATGGAGAAGCTGACCGTCCATAGCGAAGACTCCTTCATGAGCACAGCACACTTTACCATCCCTGTCCCCACCGCGGATGCTGAGGTGCAGGAGCAAACGTGCAGACAATGGCCTGACCACCCACGCAGCAGAGGCTGGGAGGGCCTCACCTAACGCCTGCCGCCCAGACTCCAGCAAAGACTGGCAGCTTCCCTAATCCCCGCCCACCTCCCCTCCCCCGCACAGCCCCGAGGGAGGCCCTGCCCTCCCCCCAACCCCCATGGGGGCACAGCTGAACCTGCCCTTTCTTCGCCGCCTTGGGGTGGGCCAGGTGTGAGTGAGGCCGTGGTGGGGCCCCTACAGGCTCTGAGCCTGCGCTTCTCTCTCAGGGGCGGGGGCTTCCTTTATGGCCCCCAGGGGTCTCGTTTTAAGGCTCCTGATTCGGGCAAACTGCCCTCCAGCATTCGCTGAAGCAGCAGTGGTGTCCATCAGAAACAACCCTAGAATGGGACTTGGGATGGGACCTGGGAAGCAGACACAGCCCTGTCCTTGCTGCCGCCTCAGCCTCTCAAATAGCTGGGGCCACAGGCGTGGGGCCACAGGCGCGGGCCACCATGCCAAATTTTTTTTTTTTTTAGACAGAGTCTCACTCTGTTACCTCGGCTGGAGTGCAGTGGCGTGATCTCAGCTCACTGCAGCCACTGCTTCCTGGATTCAAGTGATTCTCCTGCCTCAGTCTCCTGAGTAGCTGGAATTACAGGTGCCCGCTAATACGCCTGGCTAATTTTTGTATTTTTAGTAGAGACAGGGTTTCACCATGCTGGCCAGGCTAGTCTTGAACTCCTGACCTCAGGTGATCCGCCCACCTCGCCCTTCCAGAGTGTTGGGATTACAGGGTTGAGCCACCGCATCCAGCCAAGATTGTTTTTCAAGATTAAAAAAAGCTACTGGTGAGATAAATTAAAAGTGAAAAAAAAAAAAAAGCTGGTAAAACAAGACAGAAGGCTTCCATTTTCATAAAACAAAAGCAAAAAGAAAAATGAGAGAGAAAGAAAAAAAGATTCTTTCCTATGATCCATGTTACAGGGGAAAAAAAGAAAGAAAGAGGGAGGAAGGAAGGGAGGAAGGGAAGAAAGGAAGGAAGCAAAAGAGGAAGGAAGAAAAGAAAGGAAGGAAGCAAAAGAGGAAGGAAGAAAAGGAAGGAAGGAGAGAGAGAAAATGAGCGAGAAAGGAAGG